TTGAACTGGGGTGACCCCAACTGTTTCGCTCAATACTTTTTTTTCTCTTTAGATTGTACCTGGGGGAAATAATTGGTTAGATGACTTTAGGCTGTTGATGTTCATGAATAAGTATTTCGTTTCCACTGAGGGCCAAAGCTACAATTTTGACATAATATACGATCGAGTTCAACCTATCGACTAGCTAGGCTGTGACCTCCAACACTAGATATCTATATTATTATTAGGTCTATAATACGACAATTAAATAAGCCTATAACTATAATATATACGTTGTCCTCCAAATTTCTGAGTAAAGAGAAATGAGTTTTCACCCTCTTTCAAAGGTAAATATGGTTCATTTCAAACAAAAAATGTGTCGTTCAACTGAAAACTTTTATTTTGCTTTAATGTAAGTTTTACGTTTGATTTTTCCTGCCTAACATGACTGCTTGGAGTAACCGTAACAGAGACCTCCCTCAGACGTTATAACAGTGTGGCCTTTCGGTTCTTCTTGGTATCGGGGATTTCCCTGTTTTCCCAGGAAAGCGAACCGGAAGCAGGATGTAACTGGATGAAAACAACAGCGACCGAGATACTGCAGAATTCTTTTCTTACTGACCGATCCGAACAACTCATTTCTTGCTGCTGTCTATAGTCATTTTGGGTCAAATTGCAGCCGTGTGCGCTAAAATAAGTATGTAAAGTATATATGCATAATTTTATAAATTAAGTCTGGCTACCAGGTAGATCTAAATCTATGTATTCTGCGATTTAACCGAAAGTGAAACTGAACTAAGATACTCCACAAAGTCAAAACAGTGGAATTTGGAATGGCAACTGAAACTGAGGTGTCAGCTTAAAATTGCCAATGCTTCTTGTGACAGTTTCAACAAGATTAATCATTACTAGAGGTCTAGATCTAAAAATATAGATCTAGATCTAGATCTATAATGTGCAATGGCAATATTTGTAAGTATTTTAAAAATATTAGCTGAGATTTTAATCTGCCATAACTGCGCATGACAACAGACCAGGCTTTGCCATGTGTGTCACTCTGTGTATCATCAGGGAGTGTCTGTACGTACACAATTGCTAATTGCGTGCACCAACACATTTTTTGCTAGATCTATATGCACGCAATTGCGTGCACCAATACAATACAGTATACTACGCACGCTATTATACTTTGCTATGCTCGCAATTCTGTGCCGTAAATGCCAAAGATTCTCTACTACGAAGTTGCACTTGTTTGTCCGCACTGTAGTGGGACCGTTTTGCCATTTAGCGCATGATGGGCTACGTCACTTGGGGATGCAAGGTTGGTTTCATCGTCGACTTCTTGGTGAAGGTATCAAACACTGTAGTTAGTAGTCTGTAGTAATAGTGCCGGCAGTGGGCTAAGGCCTCCTACTAAGCAATAGTAGCAGTAGTATCAGCAACAGCAGCAGTAGTAGTGGTAGTATAAGTAGCAGTAGTGGTAGTAGGAGCTGCAGCAGTAGTAGTGGTAGTACGTAGTAGCAGCAGCAGCAGTAGCAACAAATGCAACAACAGCAGCAGCATCAGCACAACAATAAATGCAGCAGCAGGCTGCAGTAGTAGCAGTGGTAATAGTAGCAGCAGTAGCAGCAACAGATGCAACAGCAACAAATGCAGCAACAACACATGATGCAACATCAGCAGTAACAATATCATGCAGCAGCAACAACAATAAATGCAGCAGCAGCGACAACATACGCAACAGCAGCAACAAACGTATCAGCAGGAGCAGGAACAAATGCAACAAGCATAAAATGATTAAGCCTACTGAATTTGGGACGTGGGGATCATTGTGGGTATGGTGTTTGTGAGGGGTTTTTTCAGATTTTTAAAAAATAATTTGTTTGTTTTTTAGTTTTTGTTTGCTTTCTTGTTTTTATTAGGTTCTTTTGCACCTCGTAGCCTAATAATAAGAATTCAGTGAGGGCATCAACTTCGGTTACTATTTTTGTGTCTTGTTCAATAATTTTATCAACTTTGCTCTATATATATATTAAAGCTATTGCTTCAGTTGTGGTGGTGGAGGTGATGATACGGGTGATAATAACGGTGGTGCTGGTGGTAGCAGTGATGAAAAAGATGATGACATGATGGTAATAGGGGTGATGATGATGAAGATGGTAGGACAATGCTGGTGATGGTTGTGATCATGAAATTGAGACAATACTAATACTAATTCTGTTTTTGTAGATGTTACTGATGTTGTGGTCACCTACGCTGCTGTCACTGATGGGGATGATAATGATGATGATTATAGTGATACTGTGGAGCTTTAATGATGCAGTGAAACCACATTCAGGTTAAAGGACAGGGCAATATTACTACAAACAAACAAAAAAATGGCCATGGCTATTAAAGAAAGAAGATCCACCCTTACCCTTCATACACCACAACGCATCCTCACGAAGGCTCAATCTCAGGCCTTTGTATTGGTAACTTTTATAACAGTTTTTACGCCTCTTGCAAAACAATAAGGTCATAAGCGATGGTGCTAAACCAGACTTGAGACAAACGATTTCTCAGCTCAATTCGTTTGCCTCACTCGGTCAGCGTATACTGACAACAGACCAACCGGTCTTAGCACTGTTCCATTAATGCGATGCCTCAATCAGAAAAAAAGGTTTGCCTAAAACTGAAATGCAGAGGATCGAAACCATGACCTCCTGGGCCTAAGCCTAGCCTAGGCCTACAGCATTGGGCCAGTCCTAGTCTCGCATTTCCCCACAGTGGTGTCGTAATAAGAACAACCGGTGTCGAAGTTGCCCACATAGTGATGTCGTAATTAGAACAACGGTTGTCAAAATTTTGAATTTCGCACCCTACATTACTTTCAGGGAGGATTACAATCAATGTGGCAGACACATTCGCTTGTTTTGCATAAACAAACAGGTTCTAAGAGATTTCTTGACCATCTCATGGTCACAGAACCAAGCCGCTCAATTTATTTTATTCAGCTACCCAGATCAATGACCAATGAACACAGCAGGAGTCTCAGACTGCCGAAAGGGGTGTTGAAATATATGCACCCTCTACCCTAGGCTGTAGGCCTATCGTTTCAAATTTGCAAACAAGAGAGAATGTCGTTTACTGCCTTCTGTCAAAGAATCTGTCGACTCCTTGTTGTTATGTCCCTTGCTTATATGAAAGGCAGCGTGGTGGAATCAGGCTCTCGTCAAAATAATCAAAATGAAAAAACTTGCATTTTTCCGCAGGTTTGTGAATTTTTATTGATTTTTATTTTTTGGCTCAACACCTTTCATGCCGATTAAAGAACTCATTCCAGTGTGAATTTTCCGAAAAACGTTGATTACAGGCACAAAAAATGTAAATTTTCAGTTACCAGGGACTCTTAAGCTAAGGAAATAACTAATCTTTGGCGGCCTTTTTCTCACGAATTTTACCTCTGAAAACAGGTGACCCCCACCTCCTTCTTTCGCAAATATCTCGACTTTTATTCAAGATAAATGGATATTTTTAAAATCCCAATAAAGACAAGTGAACAAGCTTTAAGTTGATACCAGTAACTCTACATGCCCAAAAATTGACGAGAGCCTGATTCCACCACGCTGCCTCACATATATAGATTTTTTGGTATTCAACTTGTAGTCCTAGGATTGGACACTGTCCAGTCAGGCAGCAGAATATCAGAACTCTTTATAAAAAATTCTACCTGGTGTGTGTGATAGCCACACCAGCCTTCTACAAGGTCAGGGACAGTTAGTCTGCCACTTCTACGGTTGCGACAGTGCTTGCTACAACACCCCTATATATAATATATGCTCCACTTGGGTCATCATTATTGTAGAAATGTTCAAACATCTTATTGGGGGCTATCAGACACACCAGGCTGAATTTTTTAAAATTAAACAAAGAGTGAGTGAATTTCTTATTCTGCTGCCTGACAGGATAGATATCGTCTATTTCTGCCTAAAGAAACTCTTGTGAGATAGTTTCTGAGGTGCTTTTATAGCACTTTGTTGTCACTGAGCTCCTTCTTAGTTTTTGCCTTTAGTTTTCCCTCACTTATAGCCCTCTCTATTCTGCTGTGGAGTTTCTTGATCTTTTTCATCCCACTCTAAATCCCAGGGGTAGTGGCTGTTTTTCCTTTTTCCTTATAGACCAGAGTACAGTGTTCCTCAACTTACAGCCAGCCGTGTTTACATTGGGTGCATGCAAGATCTCAGAATTTTCTGTCCATATCTAAGAATACGAGTTAGTAGCTTCCGTTTCTCAGGATGGGAAATGCAAAAAGGAATGGAAAATGTTCAAAGTTGTCCATACTCCATGGATTACTGAACCTGGAATTGAACCAGGTTCCCTCGTTTAAAGGGCAAGCCCCTTGTCTCTCTAGTTTTTGCTTCTTTGTGGTTTCACTATTGACAGTTTTGTCTGTAAGTGAAGAATATCATCCATGTTTGAACAAAATACAGTCTAGAATGCACACTGCGAAATCGGCAGGTGGGTGGAAAACTTTTCGCTATGTATGAATTTCCCTGTGTATATATGTTTAAGATGCAAAGAACATAAAGTTTAAGAAAAAAGATTGAGATTTCAAAATCTGTTTACTATGTATGTGCGTGTTGGCTATACTGTGCGTGCTAGACTAGGACTAGTCCTGTGCATAGATGAAAGGCCACCTCTGTTCTCACCCGGAGTGAGAATAGTGCAGGCGAGTCTTGTGGCTATTCTCACCCGGTGCACGTTCACCACATTTTGCGTTCACCCTATACCACAAAATTCTACACTGTGATAACAAAAAAATTGTAGAATTCTGTGCCGTGAACAAACGTTCCATTACAACTGTAGCCTACTAAAAGCGTACAATTTTGTCTGTGGACAGTGGAGAGAGAGAGAGAAAGAGAGAGAGGAGTAGCGCGAGAATTTCCGGGCAAAACAAAATGGTGACCCGCGTAGTTCGGCTCGATTCGAAAAGTTAAATAGCCGTAGCATCTTTGTAGACAACCAAATTAATTTACTTTTGTGTTTTAACATCATTTTTTAACTTTGTTTTGGTCAATTTGATCTTCCGCACCGATAGACAGTATTCAGAAAGAGACAGAGAGAGAGAGAAGAGGTGAGGAGTTGATCTTGGGTGAGAATAGCCACTTTCTAGATGAAAACTAACAAACCCTATTTAGATGCTGTTTTTATGGAGCGGGGGGCTTTGGAATTGGGTGAGGATTTTGTTTTGTATCTGCACATTTATACACTCACTAAAAAAAGTGCTTTTACTCTACTTGTGCACTGCGTCAGACAATAAATTCATTGAAAAGTGGTATTGCCAAACAAACTCAGGAAAGACTGGCTATTAAAGATCTCAGGTGTTGATCATTACATTACAATTTGTCACTTGAGAAGTTTGAATATATCTCTGGAAATTTTGAATGAATCTGTGTCATGTTTTTTGGTTGATTCCGAGGACCTTTTCTTCAACGTTGTGTTTCAGCTTTTCAGTTGTTTGTTTTTGTAGAATTTGTTTAATAACCCCCTAAGGAAAATAATGCGCTTTGAATTGGTCATACTTTTTTAAACTCACTATCAGTGGCAATGTCATTTATAAATAAATTTATTCTTTAATGCACAAATGACTTACAATTGTTGATTTATAAGAAGTTATATGGTTTTGTGTGTAATTAAGTTTTGGTTGATTTTTAAAACTTTATTATTTTTCAACACATCGGTTGATTTTCATCATATTATTGGCTAGTGTAATGACTTTAATGTGCCCTTAGTTGAATTTTTTTTGGAACTCCTTTACGTGGATCCTCTTTTTTTTTCAAAGACCTGATAGTTAATTTTAATGCTTCTATGGTAGTGTTTACGTGCTTTAGCTATGAAAAACATCTACCAGTTTTCTACATAATATGCACACACCCTAGTATGGTTATAGCGAACATGCACATGGCAAACAGATTTTCAGGTCCCAAATGTTTTCTTATATCATGTATAGTTTCATTCTTTGTATTTAAAATAAGCACATAGCAAAATTTGCTCTTAACGAAAAGATTTCCTCTCAAGTTCACTATGTGCGAGTAGACTGTACGTTGTTTGGTCTTTGAACTGTTTCATGTTTTACTTTCCGGAGATATATTTTAGTTCTTTTTATCTATCCAGGAAGCAAAGGCCTGCAGTAATCCACAGACTGGTTGTAGGAAGTGAATGAAATGAGCCCCGACCGACTCAAGCTTTAAATAAAAAGCTCTCCTCTCTTTTGTCGAGTATACCTGTGACAGCAAGCAAGGCTGAAGTATGCCGAACAACACCACCTCCCTTGTGACAGTTCATTTTGTCAAGGGAATACCACCAAAAACTATTGACACCAGTGAATATGAGTACTCATTAAAAACTTTGCGACAGGAGTGCCTGGAGTATGTGCATGAAAAAGTCAGCACGGATGCGTTTGAAGGCTCATTAATTGCTGCAGCATTTGGTCTGGTGACCTTACCAGAGGAAGAGATTTGGTTGCCTCCATGGCACGTGTTCAGCCGCAGTGCTAAGAAACACATGCACTATAAGTTTCGTGTGAGGCACCGACCTCCTGTGGCTTGCTACAGCACAGATAACTTCCTCGGTCGATACCTGTTTCTTCAGATTCGAGAGGACTTCCACACTGGCCGTCTTGGTGAAAATAAAAATCTCACTGACAGTTCAGTGATGGCGCTCCTTTCCATGTCCCTCTACCTTCCACATCGGTTGCCTTTTGATGACTTTTGCATTGTAGACAACAACTACATTAGCCAAGGTCCTTCTGTCTTCAACATGAATAACAAGCTCTCAAAGAGTATCAGGGATCGTTTTTTGTCGGTTCCTATCCTGGACAAAGTGCTCTTGAAATCGTCTCTTAAGAAGGAATTTGAAAAACACAAAATGAGAGGAAATCCGATGTCAGAGTACATGAAGAAGTTGTACGAGGTGCTTGTCAAGGCGCTGCCAGAGTATTGCTTTGAAAAGTATGAGGTCTCACGTGAAGCTCAAGACGGAAAAAAGAACGTGACAGTGCATCTGCGGCTCTACGCAGATGAGATTCATGATCAGCCAGGATTATACTATGGAACGGTATGGATGTAAAGAAATAATTTTAAACTCTTTTACACTCTTTGCTCTTTGGACCTAATTAAAGACATGACCATTCTCCGGGGTTCTTGGTTCCTAGACAAATTGTACAGTGTAAACTTTACCTTGAATACATACTACTGAGATATTTGCATTGATAGAAAAAGGTCCAGCTTAAGAAAGGCTAGAGATATCTATTTCAGCTCAACAAGAGGCGAACTTTGACCACACTTATTTTTTCTAGCAGTAGTAGGAAAATAAAGACCTTAGGTGGTGTTCTCTCCACTATCTGTTGGTGAGTACCATGACTTGGGCACTCATTATTTTTCCATTGAAAGTTGGAAAGGAATTAATGAAGCAGAACAAAAATATATATATATATATCTTAATTTAAGATATCCCTTGATGTCTTCTTTCAAGTAACGGCTTTGTTTGAAAATGCCCAGAAACTGACTCGGGGGCGGGCGGGGGGGGGGGGGGGGAGGAGGAAATTACGCTGCTCAAAATAACATGAATCTGTGGCTTTCAAGTAATAGTGAAAAGGTGAGTTTCATTCATTTCCTGGTATGTCTTTCAGAATTTCAAGTGTACTCTCTTGGACATCGACAGTATAGAGCTGAAACTCCCAGACAGTGAAATCACCCCTGAGTGGGAAGTGTGCATCATTCTGAGGAACAAAGAGGTCAAAGTAAGCATCAGTCAGTGTGCTAGTGGTGTCATTGTGTCCTCATTGTGTCATTGTGTCCTCATTGTGTCATTGTGACTTTTTTGCTCGCATCATTTCGGTAGGGATGTCGTTGTGTTATTGCGACTTTTTGCGAGCATCAGTGTGGTAGTGGTGTCATTGCACTATGATTGGTTCATTGCGACTTTTTGCGAGCATCCGTGTGGTAGTGGTGTCATTGCGCCATGATTGGTTCATTGCGACTTTTTGCGAGCATCAGTGTGGTAGTGGTGTCATTGCGCCATGATTGGTTCATTGCGACTTTTTGCGAGCATCAGTGTGGTAGTGGTGTCATTGCGCCATGATTGGTTCATTGCGACTTTTTGCGAGCATCGGTGTGGTAGTGGTGTCATTGCGCCATGATTGGTTCATTGCGACTTTTTGCGAGCATCAGTGTGGTAGTGGTGTCATTGCGCCATGATTGGTTCATTGCGACTTTTTGCGAGCATCGGTGTGGTAGTGGTGTCATTATCTCATCTTTGTGACTTTTTGCAAGCATCAGTTTGATGACGGTGTCATTGTCTCATCATTGTAGCTTTTTGCGAGCATCAGTTTAGTAGTGATGTCATTGTGAGTGGTTGGCGGGTGCTCAGGTGTTGTTTGCTCCTTCTTTCCTATCAAACATCTATCGTCCTTATTTCTAATCTGCGGCACTTGTTTGACCTTATTGTGTTGTAAGCGCAGTAAAACTCTTACCAAAACCAAACTAACAGTGTTGTTGTGTTGTGACTTTTTGTAAAATTCTTTGGATGGAGTTAAGTTTGGTAGGTTCAATGCTTTACTGCTCAGGGGCCAATGCCGAGTAATTTTTAAATCTCTTTGACTCTCATGCTTAGTTTTAGTTTAGTTTTAGTAGGAGTTTTACGGCACTTGCAACACAATAAGGTCATATAAGTGCCGAAGATTAGAGGTGTTACAAAAGAGTAACAAACACAAAATAGAAGGAGGATGAGAGATCAGGACGATAAAAGTTTGATAGGAAAGAAGAAGCAAACCACACCAGAGCACCCGCCAACCACCCACGACTCTCATGCACATTGAGCATTTTCTAGAAAATGGAACAGCAAAGTGTACATGTTTTGTATTATGATTATTATCAATGTCAGTATTAATATGCAGCTAAAACAAGGACTGCAACCATTTTGTATGTATTGCTGTTCTGTACCTTGTGTGTAACAACCATTCCAGTGGGTGGTCGGTGGGTGCTCTTTTGTGATTTGCTCCTTCTTTCCTATCAAACATCTATCGTCCTGATCTCTCCTCCTTCTTTTTTTATGTTTGTTACTCTCTTGTAACACCTCTAATCTTCAGCACTTATATGACCTTATTGTGTTGCAAGTGCTGTAATACTCTTACTAAAACTAAACTAAACAACCATTCCAGAAACTAATCTTCACCAGCAAAGAGTCGGCGGAGTCTTTCATCAGTGGTGTGGAGGGCTATGTGCAGCTGTGTCAGCGCTATGATATCTGTCTGTTCATGCCTTGTCGGATGACTCATCAGTACAGAGTCTGTTCAGAACTTCACATTTTTGGACCACTGAGGTAGGAATGTTTTAATAAATGTGTCATGACGCAGTAGAATCAGTCGCTCATCAGTTTGGGGCATTTTGAGCTATTGGTATAGTCTTAAAGGTCGTTCATTTGTCTTGCTTTCCATGAAAAGACACCCATCTATCATGAATAGAAGTCAAGATATTTATAATGGCCACCAAAGATTGATGACGTCTAAAGGTTGAGGGTTCTTGGAAACTGAAAATTTACAATTTTTTGTGTTTCAATTAAAGCTTTTCAGTAAAATCCACACTGAAATGTGTATTTAAATGGGCCTAAAACAAAAATTCAATAAAAATTGCCAAACCCGTGGAAAAATGCCGGTTTTGTTCAATTTCATTATTTTGATGAGCACCTGATTTCACTACGGTGCCTCACAAATAATGATAATAAATAATAAATCAAACTGTATTGATCCGCGTAGGGAAATTAAAGTTACAATGGCAAACATACATACATACGTAGATACATAATCAAATACGCGAATATACGTACAAAGAATACACCAGTGCGGAACAATTTTACGAACATGCCATTGGTGGTCACCATTGCGCAGCGCCCTGTTTTCTTTAGCTAGGGTTGGTCGTGTCTTGTTCAAGGACACACCCCCACTGACCACTCACCTAAACCCTGTGTCACCAACACTTGCTTGACATTATGTTTAAGTCTGAACTCACTACTCACTGGGCCTCTGGAGTCAATCATACACTCACCCATGCTTTCCCTGACGAACTCGTTACTTACCGTCCTCAACGATCTCTTATTTACAAACCTGAATTTAAATTTTGGTGATTATGGATGTCATTTATGATTAAATTTATACTGTTGTCATGTAAGGCTCTTGTATAAAATATGTATTTTATGTAATGTGAGTCAATGGCCTTTAACACTGAATACACACTTACTTGCTTTTTTTTTTTTTTTTATATAAAAAATAAAATAAAAAGAATAGAAATAAATAAATAAATAATCATTTATTGATCCCCAGTTGTCAAACATACTTACATAAATTCACCAATATAAATACATGCATATGATTATAAATACATACATAAATACACAGTATTACTCTAGCACAGACCAATTTCACAAACATGCCGTTGCTGGTCACCACTGTGCAGTGCCCTGGTTTTTTTTAAGCTACGGTTGGTCATATCTCGCTGAAGGACACACCCCAGTGACCACCCATCTAAACCCTGTGTCACCTGACACTTTTTTGACATTGCTATTGAGTCTGAACTCACTTCTCTTTTAGCCACTGGAGTCCCCCCCCCCCCCCCCCCCCCCCCACTTACCTTTACTTACCTGACTATTATATTCACTTTCTCTCGTTCACTCATTTGAATGCAATTGCTTTCTTCCTCGTTGCTCTCTCACTCACTCGTTTTGGATAGATTGTCAAAGTAAAACGATTTTTCAGTAGATACCTGTCCACTCCCAAATCATTATCAATGCTTTTTTCCCCCCGGATCAGGTTACCAGCCAAAAACAAACACTTTCTTCCTTTTCTTATCTTAGAAAGTCAAAATTTAATAAAAAGAAAAAAAATGTGATGCAACATACTAGAATGCATTTCTGTTAAAATATTTATAATATATATATATATATATGACTAGCTGGGTTCCCCCGTTCGATGAATGGACTTAATCGTCAAGTCATTGTGGGTTCAGTGTGCACAGCATGTGAACGGAAGTCTTGATGTCTTGAACACTGTATTGAAATGACGAACGGGAAAATCGTGAACGGCCGATAGTGTTTTCTATTTTTCTAATTTTTGTAGGCGAATGTGAGCTTTTCAGCTATAGAAAACAACCATCCTCATGTACGCAATTATATATATATATATATATAATATATATATATATATATATATATAGATAGATACTTTCATTAACTCAGCAGAGAAGTCAGAGGAGCTATTTATAACTTGCTCTATGTGTGTATCCAAATCTTTGGTTTGGGTGTATTTTGTTTTAAATTTTGGCTTAAACAGTATTATTCAAACAATGCGCTATTGTGTTGTCTTGTGTCTATGCAACTCAGGCAACTGAAACAAGCTAAGTCAACACACTGACATTTCTTATTAAATAACAGACTTACCATTCACACAGACAACACAATGAACGTGATTGTTTCCCTGCATGTAGCCATTTATCTGTTTTATAATATAACCAACTTAATAAGTGGTTGGCTGGTGCTCTGGTGTGGTTTGCTCCTTCTTTCCTATCAGACATCTATCATGCTTATCTCTCCTTTTTTTCTCTTTATGTTACCCTCCAGTAACATCTCGAATCTTTGACCATTATATTATGACCTATTTGTGTCACAGGTGTTGTAAAACTAGTACTAAAACTAAAGGAAGTGTCTACGTACTCCCCGATTGGGGTCTACGTAGTCATGGTGTCTAGGTGGACCCCAAAAATGTTGGATTGTGATTGGCTCGCTGAGCGAGCGGTAGTTTACATTGGTTACAATGCAAGGCTGCTAGGCCTACTTACTGATCATCTCGGGATAGTATGTTTATCTTGTGTTACTATAATTAATTTATTTTAGCCAAGAGAGAGAGAGAGAGAGAGAGAGAGAGAGAGAGAGAGAAAGAGAGAGAGTATTTAATGAATAAACGTATCTAGATGTAGATCTAGATTTTGATGTGAACCCAGCCAAGAGTGTGCAGTTCGGTCTAGATTTAGAGTCTAGATAGATCTAATATCTAGATCTAGACATCTAGATTAGATCTAGATTCTAGATCTAGATACGTTTATTCATTAAATACTCTCTCTCTGGGCTAAAAATAATAAATTATGGTAACACTAGATCGATACACCGCCCGAGATGATCAGTAGCCTTGCATTGTAACCAAAGATAGTACAGCCTACCGTAGGGTGTAGTATCTTTGTTGTAACCAATGTAAACTACCGCTCGCTCAGCGAGCCAATCACAATCCAACATTTTGGGGTCCACCTAGACACCATGACTACATAGACCCCAATCGGGGAGTACGTAGACACTTCCAAAACTAAAACTAACCACCTGAACATTCACAGAGAGAGCACTATCAAGGCCATTCTGGGGCCAAAAGAGGAAGATGACAGCCCCATTCAGAGCCAACAGTTTCTCATCTGTCAAAGTTCTGTCAAGCTCAACAGTTTCCAAGTGAAAATTGTGCAGCCCAGAAATAACGAGTCCAACACAGTTGATGAGAAGGAATTGGAGATCAGGTACGAGGATGGAGGACGGCTGAGCCTCTGGGATGGAGAGACTGAACTCTCTCAGTTTGGAAATTCGCTGGAACTGAGAATTTATCTCAAACGGAACTTTAGAAAGCAGATTCTTCCTAATAAGGATGGTAAGAATTATCTCTCAGCAATAAAGTTGAAAACTCTTAATATCACGTCATCGTCGTTGTAAATGAATGTGACCGAGACGTTGCCAGTGGCTCACCGGCTCAGTTATAGATCCCTGGTTTAAAGTCTGTTTAGAACATATTTCTGCATTTTCCATCTCAGCTGTTTAGCTGTTATTTTGTCATCAGCGTCTAGAATCTAATGGATATAATAATAATAATAATAATAATAATAATAATAGATTGCATTTATATAGCGCTCTATTCCATACTAGTATAAGCTCTGAGCGCTTTACACCAATCACATAATCATTCACACAAGCTAAAATATTTTACAGAAACAAGAAAAACCAGTTCAACCACATAAAGAACTTTCACAACCATACATTAACTATATACGAAAGGAATAAACAACACTAAAATGCTAAGTCCTGGCTGCCTCATCTATAAGATGCTAACTAAGGGCTTGCTGTTCAAATTGCACCAGTCAATGTGTGTTTGTTTGGGTGGTTGTATGCTATGCAGACTGTGGTGTCAATGGCCTAGTGGTTAGGCTCTCGGACTTGAAACCGTAAGGTTGTGGGTTTGAATCCTGTCAGGGACCTGACGTTGTGTCCTTGGGAAGGGCATTTTACACAAACTTTCCTCACTTCACCCAGATGTAAATTGGGCCACCTGGTTGTAGATACCGAAAGATCTTGTCAGTTTGTCAGTGTTTGAGCGCCTGCAACCCGCAGCTTGCACTGTATGCTTCCCAAGAAGCCAAATATGTTTCTGAGTGCTCTAGGGTCTGCTGTGGTAATAGTAGTTGTAAAGCACATAGAGCGTGCTGTAGAGTGTGGCTATGCACTATATGTAAATGCAATTATTATTATCATCATCATTATTATTATTACTATTATCATTACTATTATTATTAGTATTATTATTACATGCAAGAAAACGTTTAGGTTCACTGTGGACTGCTGTTTTTTGTTATTACTGTCTCATTTTTTGGAGTGAATTTGACTTGTTGATTAAGTTGATCATGTGGGTGGTTGGTGGGCGCTCTGGTGTGGTTTGCTACTTCTTTCCTATCAAACATCTATCATCCTTGCCTTATCGCTATTTTTTTTTGGGGGGGGGGGGGTAAAAACGCCTGTGTTTAATTCAGTATGACTGTAGTGGACGGGGGAAAGAAAGAGGACAGTTCTTGGGTATTTTTAATTTCCTGTTTGTGCATCAGCTCCAGTGCCGGCGTCTGTGGTGTCATGATCAGACACTTTGCTGTCGCACATCGGAGACTTGAGTTCGATTCACGAGTGGGGAGAGAATTTTTTATCGAGTATCTCGGTCTTTCTGCTGGGACATGGTATCGCTCTCAGCCGTCCTCTTAAATGGTTTAAATTGTCTCGGTCTTTCTGCTGGGACATGGTATCGCTCTCAGCCAGCCTCTTATTAAATGGTTTAAAGTATCTCGGTCTTTCTGCTGGGACATGGTATCGCTCTCAGCCGGCCTCTTAAATGGTTTAAATTGTCTCGGTCTTTCTGCTGGGACATGGTATCGCTCTCAGCCGGCCTCTAAAATGGTTTAAAGTATCTCGGTCTTTCTGCTGGGACATGGTATCGCTCTCAGCCGGCCTCTTAAATAGTTTAAATTGTCTCGGTCTTTCTGCTGGGACATGGTATCGCTCTCAGCCGGCCTCTTAAATGGTTTAAATTGTCTCTGTCTTTCTGCTGGGACATGGTATCGCTCTCAGCCGGCCTCTTAAATGGTTTAAATTGTCTCGATCTCTCTGCTGGGACATGGTATCGCTCTCAGCCGGCCTCTTAAATGGTTTAAATTGTCTCTGTCTTTCTGCTGGGACATGGTATCGCTCTCAGCCGTCCTCTTAAATGGTTTAAATTGTCTCGGTCTCTCTGCTGGGACATGGTATCGCTCTCAGCCGGCATCTTAAATGGTTTAAATTGTCTCTGTCTTTCTGCTGGGACATGGTATCGCTCTCAGCCGGCCTCTTAAATGGTTTAAATTGTCTCGGTCTCTCTGCTGGGACATGGTATCGCTCTCAGAGGGCATCTTAAATGGTTTAAATTGTCTCGGTCTCTCTGCTGGGACATGGTATTGCTCTCAGCCGGCCTCTTAAATGGTTTAAATTGTCTCGGTCTCTCTGCTGGGACATGGTATCGCTCTCAACCGGCCTCTTAAATGGTTTAAATTGTCTCGGCCTCTCTGCTGGGACATGGTATCGCTCTCAACCGGCCTCTTAAATGGTTTAAATTGCGTCATTGGGGCGGCGCAAAAACACTTATTTTTTTAAGACAATTAAAACAGTTTTTTTTATTTTAACCAGCGCCAGTGGTAGCGGAGATCAACAGCTGGTACAAGTCTGAAAGTCTAGACTATTATATCTCCACTGATGACAACACAAGGGACTCTGATGAGGACAAGGACAAAGCTGAGGGGACCAGCGTCTTTGTTGAAGAGGACATCAAACTGGTCGCAGAAATTCCTGGTTTGTTTACTGTTATTTATATATCGTTGCAGTCGCAAGCGATCCACTTAAGTCCAAATTTTGAGACTTAAAAAAAAAAATATTTCCACTCTCTCAAAGCTCTATCAGAGATGTGCCTTTCGATATCACCAACATGCAGTTTATTGCTATGCTCAAGGCGTACAATATTTTTGCCTTTCTTGATTCTTTATAGGAACAGCACAACAAAAACTAGTTTTTTTGTCTCTGATTTTTAAAGCGGACTTAAATGGATTGCTTGGGGTGCCGACGATAATGTCGATGTCCGTTTCTAACTGTGTATCCGCTAGGTCTAACATTATGTTGTTCATAAACCGCACTTGTCACAATTGGTGATACTTTTATAAGTAATCAGATTTACCAGTCTTTATCAGTGGAAATGAATAAATTCACCTTACTTAACGGGAGGAGCTACCCTTGAGGACCATTTTCTATGTCTGTTGCTCTTGGTTGATCGGCTATGCCAACCTGTGTTTTTGTTCTGTAAATTATGATCTGAAATGCAGGATCTTAGCCGAATGTAGACCTTCAGAGCAGGATCTTTGGGGTGACTTTTGTATAGTAAAATTTCTGATTTCGTAAAACAGTCCGATCCTTAAGGAACCGGGATCGTAAGCGGTGAGATCTTAGGCAGAGACTATTGTAGTCGGTTCCCTGTCAGTTATCAGTTATATATACAGTGGCGTCCAAAAGAAACTTGGAAATTATGTAATCACCCAATCATCGTGTTAAAGCCTTGCATGGCACCCTCAAGCAAAGCAGTACATTGCATATCCAATGAATGGAGACTTTTGTCTCTGCAATAAAAGGTATTTTATTACAATACTTTCAAACAAAACAGAAAACGGAGCAATCACAATTACCACGCAAATTTCATAGATGAAATATTAATGTGTCAGATGATGCAGAATATGATTAGCTTTAAATTTATCTGCTGCATGAGTGGGTAGTGTGCAAGGCTTTATAACACAATGATTGGGGGATTACATTCTAAGTTTTTTTTTGGATGCCACTGTATATGACCTAATTGTGTTGCAAGTGCGGTAAAACTCATACTGAAACTTTAAAAAAAATATATATATATTCCTTCTATATTCTTTGCAGACAGGAACCCCTTCGTTTTTAAAGACAAGGTTCAGGTTCAAGTGAGGTCAGGTGCTGATATGAAGTTCCTGACGCGGGTGCAAGTGAACTCCGCAAATACGGATGTGCTGAGGGTAAATTATTTCATTTGTGTCTGACTCGTAACCGTTTTGTGTCGGTCGGGCCGTTAAAGCCATGTACATTTAAATTACTTTAACAATGTATCTGCGAAATTAGGTCACACACTTCTATCGTCTATCAGGGATTACTTTAACAGTGTATCTGCAAAATTAGGTCACACACTTCTATTGTCTATCAGAGGGGATATCTCACGTGGAACAAAGCTGAGGATTTTCAATTAAAATGTGACGTTAGTCCTGTGTATGGATGTGAGACGGTGGGTGGTTGGCAGGTGCTCTGGTGTGGTTTGCTCCTTCTTTCCCTTCAAACTTTTATCATCCTTTTCTCTCCTCCTTCTTAATTGTGTTTGTTACTCTCTTGTAACACCTCTAATCCACGGCACTTATATGACCTTATTGTGTTGCAATTGCTGTAAAACTCTTACTAAAACAAAATACAATTTTTTCATATATTTCTCTTTACTTTTACTATTACTTCACCTGTTTATCTTTACTTTTGAAAACAACAACTATTGTTTCGTTTATTTCCCTATACTTTTACTATCATCTCATTGCACCTATTTTTTAAAACTTTACTTCTTAACTATTATTTTACCTATTTCTCTTTCCTGCTTTACTTTTACTTCACTTATTTTTCCCTTTATTTTTGGAACTATCGCTTCTTCTATTTCTCTGCACTTTTTTTGAAAAGCCATTCTCACCTATTTTTCTTTATTCTTACTATTATTTCACCAGTTTCTCTTCTCTGCTTTTACTTTTATTTCAACGATTTCTGTTCACATGATTACTATTATTTCATCTACTCCCCTTCCCTGCTTTTTCTTTTATTTCAACGATTTCTGTTCACATGATTACTATTATTATTTTCATCTACTCCCCTTCACTGCTGTTACTTTTATTTCACCTATTTCTCTCTATTGTTGCTATTGTCTCATACATTTTTCTTGACGGCTTTCACTTTTATTTCACCTATTTCTTTCTATTGTTGCTATTGTCTCATACATTTTTCTTTACTGCTTTCACTTTTATTTCACCCTTTTCTCTTTATTGTTACTATTATCTCACATATTTTTCTTGACGGCTTTCACTTTTATTTCAACGATTTCTGTTCACATGATTACTATTATTTCATCTACTTCCCTTCACCGCTTTTACTTTTATTTCACCCTTTTGTCTCTATTGTTACCATTATCTCTCATATTTTTTTGAACTGATTTTTCTTTTATTTCACCTATTGCTCTTTATTTTGACTTTTATTTCACCTATTGCTCTTTATTTTTATTTTTATTTCACCTATTGCTCTTTATTTTGACTTTTATTTCACCTATTGCTCTTTATTTTTAATTTTAATTCACCTATTGCTCTTTACTCTTGCTTTTATTTCTCCTTTTTCTCTTTATTTTTTAATTTTGTCTCACCCACTTCTCTTTACTTTTACTTTAATTTCACATATTTCTCTTTACTTTTACGTATATATATCATATTATACTTATCGCTGTTACTTTTATTTCACGTATTTCTCTTTACTTTTACGTATATATATCATATTATACTTATCGCTGTTACTTTTATTTCACGTATTTCTCTTTACTTTTATGTATATATATCATATTATACTTATCGCTGTTACTTTTATTTCACGTATTTCTCTTTACTTTTACATATATATCATATTATACTTATCACTGTTGTGATACGGTCTCCCTTTAAGCTAATGCAACAACTGTGTATGTGTCTTATGTGTGTGTCTTATGTGACACTATACAACAACTGTATGTGTCTTATGTGGCACTATACAACAACTGTATGTGTCTTATGTGTGTGTCTTATGTAGCACTATACAACAACTGTATGTGTCTTATGTGGCACTATACACTGTTTAATTGTTTAATGTGTCTTATGTGGCACTATGCAACAACTGTTTAATTGTTTAATGTGTCTTATGTGTGTGTCTTATGTGACACTATACAACAACTGTGTGTGTGTCTTATGTGGCAATATGCAACAACTGTGTATGTGTCTTATGTGACACTATACAACAACTGTGTGTGTGTGTCTTATGTGACACTATACAACAACTGTGTATGTGTCTTATGTGACACTATACAACAACTGTGTGTGTGTCTTATGTGGCACTATATGACAACTGTGTATGTGTCTTATGTGACACTATACAACAACTGTGTGTGTGTCTTATGTGGCACTATGCAACAACTGTGTATGTGTCTTATGTGACACTATACAACAACTGTGTGTGTGTATCTTATGTGACACTATACAACAACTGTGTATGTGTCTTCTGTGACACTACACAACAACTGTGTGTGTGTCTTATGTGGCACTATATGACAACTGTGTATGTGTCTTATGTGGCACTGTACAACAGCTTTTCTTTCTCAGCCATTCATGCAGCCCTCTCACATCATCATCATCTTTGCCTTTTTCACCCTGGATCAGGATATAGGCCACGAACAAACACTTTCCACTTTTCCCTGTCCTGGGCGAGTCGCTTGATGTCACTCCATGTCTTCCCACTTTTCTGTACATCCATTTGCGTGACTCTTCTTCGGGTTCCACGAGGTCTTCCCCTTCTTGACTTCCTGAAAGTGTGCCCAATCCATCGCCAACACCCTCTTCCCACCTCATCTTTGACTGGGTGTGTCTCATTCCCCTGAATAATTCCTCGTTGCTGATTCTGTCTGTTCATCTGATCCTCAGTAGCATCCTCAGACACTCTGTGGGTGGTTGGTGGGTGCTCTGGTGTAATTTGCTCCCTCTTCCCCATCAAATATCTATCGTCCTTTTCTCTTATTCTTTGCACGTTACTCTCTTGTAATATGTCTAATCTTCGACACTTACATAACCTAATTGTGTTGCAAGTGCTGTAAAACGCTTAAACTTAAACTAAACTAAAAACTCTCTCTTCAGGGTTTCAGCGAAGGTTTGGTTCGATGTCACAAGCTGCATCAGGTGTCGAGGAAGAATTTTGTGGGCCTATGCGGAATGATTCTCAACACAAGCTCCTCATCTGTGCTGGTGGAGCATGCGCCGAGTGGAGACCTGCTCACCTATCTTAGGGAAGGCGTCAAACTGAGAATTAAAGTGAACATCATGGAACAGATTGTGCATGTTCTTCAGGTCATGGTAAGTACATAAGTATATTTTTATCAAGGGGAGGGTGACTATTAAATCACTGAGCCCAGGCCAGTATGAAGTAGCAGTGGTCATTTGGTCACTTTTAAGGACAAACAGGCTAACCCAGACTTCGGGGGTTTCCAGAAAACTTGACCTACGCCAAAAGCGGGCGTTGCCCTACCTATAGGAGAAGTTTGGTTTCATTGGTGCGAATATTTGTCTATAGAGAAAACTGTCCTTGTTTTTTAATGAAACCGAACAAGGGGCTAAAACTTTACCTTTGATTTTCTCAAAACAGCATTTTTCGGGATAGCCCACTTGTCCTTAAAAGCGACCATTTATACTAGCTATTTTCACGCTGAACTCATTGACTACCGCGAGCTGTGTTTCATGGCTGGTGTTGCTCCCAATACTGGACCGCCAGCCATGTTTCACGGCTCTCCACTTCCTGCTTCAAAACCAGTCCTACTTTTGTAATAATCGAAACTGAAATCTCAGGCTGAAGAATGATCGTTTTCAGCAACGTGTTGAGAAAGGTCATTATTTCCCTTTTATTTTTCTATTTAACACATTACGGGGCTAATATTGAAAATTGAACTCAAAATCTTTAATTTGTCAGAGAGTAAGCAGAATTATAAAGTAGGTCACATATAGGGCCCGCCCGGTTCAGGTGAGGGAAAACCCGCCCCTGGATGTGTAAGAGTTTTTAAAAAGTCTCAGGAATGTAAATATGAAGCAACTGGTTTAATTTTTCACTGTGTTACTTTCTCTTCAACTATTGAAAGGTTGTTGGGAGTGGTGGCTTAAAAAGCCACATGGCTAAGTGCTCCTCTGTTTCACCAACAGTTTCCTCTTATCTGTTTCGGACATATTAGTCATGCGCGCTCATATGACCTCAGCAGTTGCGAGCGCCGTAAAACCCTATACTACATACATATTAGTCATGAAAGTACACATCAGTACCGTGAGTGAGTCTTTTGGCTTTTTTCCACCACTCATTCAACACCTTTGTAGACATAACGGCAACAGGGAATCCTCTAGAGATAAAACTATCAAGTTTCATCGCATTATCATTGAAAGTGACCCCCCCCCCCCTCATCCTCCACCCCCCACCCCCAAAGGAAGTAACAATATTCACTACTAACATATGGAGGAAATGAAACTACACACAGATGATTTCCCTTCCTTTTCAGCCACCGAATTCTGTGTTTTTAACTCATGATTAATATACCCCCAAACCCCATCCGATGGATTCATTATGTCATCAGTGGCATATCAGCGATAAACATCCACATGGGTTAAAAAAAACCAGTCGCTTTGAAAATGGTTGCAAAATCCAGGAGGAGACTGGGATAAAAGTGGGAAATTTTTTCTCTTTTTTTTTGGTGTGTTTTACGGCGCTGGCAACCGCATAAGGTCATATGAGCGCACAGGACACTCATTTTCAGTTGGTAGGAAATTTTAAATTTTGCCCTGGTGATGGCCGAAGCGTACTCTAATTGTGAGTCAGCGTGGTGGAATCAGGCTCTCGTCAAAATAATCAAAGTGAAGAAACTTGCATTTTTCCGCAGGTTCGTGAATTTTTTTCAAATTTTTGTTATTTGGCTCAACACCTTTCATGCCCATTAATGAACTCATTTCTGTGTGGATTTTTCTTAAAAATGTAAATATTCAGTTACCACGGACTCTTAAGCCAAAGAAATAACTAATCTTTGGCGGCCATTTTCTCACTAATTTTACCCCTGAACACAGGTGACCCCTACCCCTTTCATTCGCAAATATCTCGACTTGTATTCAAGATAAATGAATATATTTTTCATCCAAATAAAGACAAGTGAACAAGCTTTAAGATGATACCAATAACTCTACATGCCCAAAAATTGACGAGAGCCTGATTCCACCACGCTGTCTCACAATTGATTTTGGACCTCGAAGGGATCTTTCACATGCGCAGCTTGCTCTCGGGACCTCCGAGATTTTTCACCCTTATCTGAGAAGACTATGTGTTAGATAATAATAATAATAATGGATTGCATTTATATAGCGCATACCCACTTATGCAATGTTCTATGCGCTTAACATGATCCATATTATGGATTTACAAATCAATTTTAAAGGTACATAGTGTTACATACTCGTGCAAACACCTATTCACTCACGCACGCACCACACACGCACATACGCACATACAAACTCACAACGATCTACAGCTTGGATGGATTCTGTCTAATCGAAATATGATGAAAATAGAAATGCTTTTAGTTTCTTCTTAAAAATTTCTAGATTTTCTGCTTCTCTGATAGTTTTTGGAAGCCTATTCCAAACAAGTGGGGCAAAATATGAAAAAGAGCGTTGGCCATATGATTTGTTATTTATTTTAGGCTTAACAAGGGTTGTTTTGTCACTTGATGATCTGAGCGTTCTAGGAGGCACATAGGGTGTTAAAAACTGTTTTAGATAGTCGGGTGATAAATCATTTAAGCGCTTGTAGCAAGTTAAACAGATTTTATATATGATACGCTCTTTCACTGGGTACTTACCCGTCATAAGATCAGGGGTGTGGCTGAAAGACAGCAGTAAGAAGGAACCAAGGAGTAGCAGTAGAAAGTCTGCAGAAAGAGTCAGGAGCCCAGAGGAGGGGGCAAAGGAGGTGAGGGGGTGGAGGCAGAAAGTGGAGACGAAAGCAGACGGCAGAACATTGTTAGAGAGCAGGAAAGAAGGTGAAGGGAGAAAATTTTAGAAAAGAAAATGTTCTGCCACAATCCGGATTTGAACCTGGGACCTATTGAATGAGAGGCAAACCCTGTAATCTCTCGAACACCAAAACCACCTGTTTTTTCTCTTTGATGGGTGGGAAGCCTTATTTTTTAAAATAATTGGAAAACTTATAGGAGCAATAATTTACGTTGTACCTTTGGTTACCCGAATAAACTGACCTTTTTTTCCAGGTGGGCAAAAGCCTTTTTCATGGCAACATCCGATGTCGGCGATTTGTTGTTTTTGACTGCGCAGACTCCGAGTTCGTGCACATCAAGCTTGGCGATCCTGGAGTCTCCTCCTACCTTGACAAACTGCCTGTGAATTCGGAGTTTAACGTTGAGAGGTATTCAACATAGTGCTTGTCATCATAATATTAATAGATAGATAGATAGCATTTGTATAGTGTAAATCCCGGCTCAACAGCTAGCTCTATGCGCTTTACAATTTATATTATTACCCCAGCAGACCTGAGAGCGTTCTGAAACAACCTCAACTTCATGGGAAGCATACTGTGCAAACGGCCATTTGTAGTCACTAAAACACTAACATGCTGACAAGATCTTTCGCTGTCTATGGCCGGGTACCCATTCCCACCTAGGTGAAGTGAGAAAAATTTGTGTAAAGTGCCTTTCCCAAGGATACAACGTCAGGCCCGCGGCTCGAACCCCCGTACCCGCAATCTCACGATTACGAGTCCGGTAGCCTAACCACTAGGCCACCTACTAGGCTCATCATTATCCTTGCCTTTCTCACCCTGCACCAGGGTATAGGCCACGGGCAAACACTTTCCACCTTTCTCTATCCTGGGCTAGCCTCTTGATGTTATTCCATGTCTTCCCACTTTTCTGTACATCCATTTCTGATAGTACTTGTGGGACCAGAAATATGGGTTGGTTGGCAATTGCTCTGGTGTGGTCTGTTCCTTCTTTCCTATCGGGACGTCTATCGTCCTGATCTCTCCTCCTTATTTTCTTTCTATGTTACTCTCTCGCAACACCTCTAATCTTCGGCACGCGTATGACCTAATAGTGTTGAGGGTGCTGTAAAACTATTATTTAAACTGAAACTAACATCCTGGACCGGGCAGGCTCATGGTTGCCACTCTTAGCTCTCTGTTGAAACTTTGCTGCTCTGGTGCACATCATGGGGGCACTGATAAAGAGCAAAAACCTCAGTCTTGCCTTAGTTGAGTGCGTGCACAATATTTCGTCCTGGGTGAAAGTGAGGACAATTTTTGTAAAGTGCCTATTCCCAAGGACACGATGTTGGGGCCCCTGATGGGATTTGAACCCATGACTTTATGGTTGAGAGTTTGAGGGTCAAACCGCCAGACCACCGATGCGACATGATATTTGGTTTCTGGTTTCAGGACAAAGACAGTAAAACCGCGACAGTCACCTCGGATAGATACGAGTAGCAATTAAAGTACTATCTATCTATCTGTCTGTCTGTCTGTCTGTCTGTCTGTCTGTCTGTCTGTCTGTCTGTCTGTCTATCTGTAAACGTTACGAAAAAAGTTTGGGAGAAATTTTGGGAGGAGAATGTGTTGTGCTGTACACGCCTGTATCAAGTGGGAGTGGGACCACAACCCACACATCGAGAGTGGTCCTGATGTGGTTGCAAGAAAGGTTTGGGAAACGCCTTATTATAAGCTGAAAATTCACAAATGAATGGTTACCACATTGCCTCCCCCCCCCCCTCACAACTTAAGCCCCATCAATTATTACCTTTGTGGTTTTTTGATTGACAGAGAGAGTCCAGGGAAAAAATCCGCAAACAATCAAACAGTTGAAACTTTGAAAGTCGATGTTGATCAGGGCGTCCAAAGAATTGACCCAGAGGCATGTCACAGGGTTATTCAGAATTTCCTGTGGCGTTTTGGAGCTAGAAAGAAATGGTCTATACACCGTGAGATTTAGATAGCGACCGCCTTCCTTGAGTTTGATTAGCAATTTCAGTTGTTTTGCATTCATTTTTTCTTCAATGCACAAATAGTGACTATTTGAAATAGAACAACATGAGTCAATTTTGGTTGACATTTTTTAAAATTGATACTTTTCAAACATATGGATTGATTATTTTCATATTGACAAATGCATCATCCCTATGGTTGAATTTCATTTCTGTGAAGTTTTGTTAAAACTGGTTCAAAGATAACTGAGTTATTGCCATGGAAGAGGGGCCTCTTTTTTTTAGACACCCTGGTATTATTGGGAAGTGGCCAGAGCCTCCAGGGAGAAGGTACTGTAGAAGTGGTCATTATTATTGTTATCATTATTATTATTATTATTTTTATTATTATCACCATTATTTTTTTATTTTCATGTTTGTTGCAACAGGTATCCATGGTTGGCTCCGGAGCGTCGCTGCGAAGACGGTATCTCGGAGCTCACCTATGAATCAGAGTGTTTCGCCGTAGGTACGACTTTCTACGAAATCCTGTGCCGCAACGATGACTTCTCTAAGCAGCTTGAGCCGCCCAGCATCGACAATCCTGAAGCCGTAAGTTGTTCCATGTTTCATTCTTTGCGACAATTTACCAGCTGCTTTTTTTTGTTTTGGTAAGTGTATTACGGCGCTGGCAACTGCATGAGGTCATGTGAGCGTGCGGGACAAATTAAGCATTTCCAGTTTGGTAACAATTAATTTTTTTATTTTGCTCGGGTGGCGGCCGAAGCCTTCTTTTATTGATTTTAGGACCACTGAGAGATCTTTAACATGCGCAACTTGCACACGCGACCTCGGAGAGTTTTTCTCCCTGTTGTCCGAGAAGGCTAGGTGTTCGACATTACCTACCCTATGATCAGAGATGTGGCTGACAGGCAGCACTGAGAAGAAGCCAAGGAGTAGTAGTAGAAGACTGCAGGAAGAGTCAGCGAGTCCAGAAAGGGGGGG